AAAAGGCTGGATATTTGACATCACAGAGAAAAGTGAAGTTGTTTTATACTGCTAAGAAAATGAGAAACTGTTAATCTGGATCTAAGTTATTGTAAAAGATGGCCTGAAGATGTGGCAGGCAGTTCAGTCTGGGTTTGGGCAGAGGAGCTAAGAATTTTTCGCTGTAAAATGTAGCATGTTAAATTTTAGTCAATCAAGTGCGCTCTTCTGAACACAGCAATAAATCTTTGGTTTATGATCAGTCAGTTGATGAAATATGTTGCATTATGATACAGGTCCAGCAGCAGGCTTGGGTCATAACAGGGAACAAATCAGCTGAGTAATAAAACTCTTTAGAGCACTGTGGTTACTATATGCACCACCTGCTGCAACATTAAAAAACTGCATTTTGCCCACTCAGTGTATTTACGCATTTCATATGATGCTCAGAGGAGTCGGATAGCCCAGTGTGTATAGCAATGGGCTATGGGGCTAGATGGCTGGGGTTCAACAGTCATGGCATGGTGCTTAATGGGTTAAACACAGAGATACCTTCACCTTTATACATCTTTATGTTATACTCAAAATAAACAGTGATTATTTCCCAAACTGCATGCACTGATTGGTCTTCACAGTGGAGATGCAAAGTGCTTCCTGTGAGGTAAGAATTGAATTTTTATTCTTTAGAACAATTTGCACTTCAGAGGGCTAAATGCACATGGAATCTTGGTGTTGGAGTTGGTGTTTCAGTGTATAAAACATCAACCTCTGTGAAAGCCTAAATCAGTTATTACACACCTCTGTTGGGAAGACATACAGCCATGTGGTGCAAGGACCCAAGAACAGATTGACAAGAAAATGGTTTCTTAAGGGAGAGATTTTTGACAGGAAATGAAGCTTAATTGAAACATATCATATTACAGATAAGGTCCATGCAATTCACAAGGTAAAAGTGTAGAATATAGTAATAGGGCCTTAGAATTAAATCTAAGAGAAAGAGACCTAGGGGACAACACAGAAGAAGATAGATCAGCCAGGTATTAGAAGACATAAGACATTTTGTCTATCAACTGATTATGACAGAAGTACTGTATAAGATTCATTCCAACTTCATGATACAATTAGTAATCAATTGTATGTCTGATAAACCAACATCTGTTCGATCAATTAATCATTCTTCAAGTGGCAGGAGATCATAATCCGGACCTGTATAAAAGAAACTACATCTGCATTTTCTTTTGACAAACAGAATATTTTTAATAAAATGTCCAAGTATATTAAAAATCAAATTTAGTATGAAGTAACAATAAGAAATGCCACAATACAGTAGGAAACCATGAATGAAGACAGGTGCCCTCCCTACATCTAGAATTCCACTGTGATATCACCTTATTCTATCTCAGAAAACCTTTATTGCCACAGAACATGTTATAGATAATTTGAAAACTCTAAATTTAAATCACATTTAAAGTGAAACCCTTGTAGAGCAGCCCATTTGCCTTGCATTTATTTTTATATTATACAGTCCTTTTCTTAAAATGATTACGTTTAGTTCAGAAGATGTGTACCGTCCTGGGAGGACATCATGTATGCCAAATTCACAGTCACATGAACACAGATATTTTCACTGCGCTGGCTCTTCTCCAAGCACTTGACTACATCCGCACACATACACTAAATCACAAGAACAAACACTTAAAAGCATGCATATCTGTCAGGTTTTCATTTCTTAATAAAAAAGGGTATTATATACAAAGTTGAAAGACTACCATTGCTATTTTGTGATGGTAAACTGATGTAACAAAATTTCATCTTTTAGAACAAGATTCCTATAGTGACAGCCTGATAATTCAGAAGACATGTATGTCGTCATTACAAGAGTCTGTCTTGAAAGCAAAAGATGCCACCTCTCAGTTTTAACCATCCTTTATGAGTTTATACAAGGCCTTTAAATGAGTTCAGTCGCAAAATGAGAAATACATGAAATCAACGTAAAGAGATTCTGAACATCGGTACCTCATTACCCATGCTCTAGTAAAATAATGTAAAAATAATCTGAGAATGAGGCACTGCATCCTGCAAGCATTGCCCAATATAACTGAAGATAGTGTTGACACATTAACTTTGAAATCCATGAAGAAATGTGAAAGAAAAATTATACTTGCAAATACAGGGTGTCCCAGGAGGAATGTGCCAGACTTTGGGAGGGTGTTCCTTATGTTAAAGTATGCCAATATAACCCAAAACACCTATGTCCAAAGTTGAATGGTTATGGAGATAATGGCCAGAGAAGTGTGAAATTTTGACAGGTGTTACACTCTTGTTGATTACCAAATACACATTAAAACTGGCAGGAATATGTGGTTTCTGTAATGTTAATAATGTACGTAACATTAAACTAACTTGTGAGTGACATGAAGCCATTAAATTGAACTACAAAAAAACTTGCACGCCATGTCATAGTTGTTGTTAGGGTTCCCAGCACTATACATGATACATGAATGACAAGCACTGACGTAACATTACTGACTGCACATTCTGGTATGTGAGTGTATGCGGCTAGTGTGAGCCATTATCACCACACTCAAGGACAAACATCAATAAGACTTGTCAGCTGACAGGTACAGTGCGTGGACCCACCAGAAAACCACAATTTTCTTGGGCCATTATCTCTGTAACATATACATGGTGCCAAATCCCAGAAGACTGCTTTCTTCATCTCCGTAACCGTTCAACCTTGGACATAGGTGTTTTGGGTTATATTGGCATACTTTAACATGAGGAACACCCTCCCGAAGTCCGGCACATTCCTCCTGGGACACCTGTATATAAATGATGTCAAAAATATTAATACTGTCAAAGAATGAGGATGAATACACATTTCATTAAGATTAAAAACAGTAAAATTTACATATACCTTTCTGTTATATAAAAGTATTCATTGTATTTCATATAGAAGTTTTGTCAAATGTATGTGACAGCTGTTCAGAAGCCATATAATGGCAGTTCATTTGTACAAAAACAAGACCATTAAAACATTCTGTTTCCAAAAATAAATGTACCAAAGTATTTCTATCTTTTGTCACTTAAATTTTATAAATATTTTAAAATAAAAGTAATACATACTAATCATACAAACATATTCCATTGTCACCAACCAATAGACTATGATTTCATTTATTAACATTTACCATATTATCTGTACTATGTTTTCTTAACTTGTAAAATTTTAAATTTACAAGTTTATGCACAATTTCACACATTTCTAGATCCCAACAAATGAGACATATTGCTGTATGTATTATACATATCACACTGCTTTCTTTCCATCTGTCAGTGGTATTATATATGCACATCACTGTCATTTCCACCAATGTTACACATGTTTATATATAGATTATATATTTACAATATGGGTTGGGGGCACAATGGTATGAATTTAAATGCAGGCTTACACTTGGAATTTAGACACTATCAGCTGTGTGAATGCTTGCTTAACACATTAGGTTATTTTCACAGCTGCTGGATGTCTGCCCTTGCTGACGTATTTCGCTATTTTCATGGCTGTGAATTCAAATTATCAAATTATCAAGGTACTTCAGAGGGAATTAAATAGTGGGCAAGCAGAAAAATGATCTTCAGTATGAACAAAGAAAGTGATTGTATATGGCATTAAAATATTCTACAGACATTCTCTTTGTTCTGTTGATAGCCATTCTTTCCTTTGCTTTCAACTTTTGGGTATTACAACACTTTTATATGTTGGGACTTCCATACTGTAAACCAGTGCCTTACATTAAGGCTGGCTGCTGCTAGACTCATACTCTTATTTGCACAATCAACTCAGAATTTATAATCTAATAAACTAAAATGTCAATTTTATATACAGTGAAAGTCTGTCATTGTGATGGACATCTAAACAGATTTAAAGAAACCATTCCTCACAATGCTGCTCGTCAGTTGGTTTTTGTGGTCATCTCTTCGGGGCACAGTGGTAGCATGTGCCACCTGCTCTAACATTAAGAAACTGTGCATTTTGCCCACAGACTGTATGTATGCATTTTACTTTCTGGGAGGTAGGTACTGAACATTACATACTATTCAGATGTACTTGAAGCTTCAAAGGGTTAACAAGTAAACGCTGGTACCTGAGCCTGTCTGAAGTACTTTGCCAGCATAATATAACCAATCATAATCATAAAAGGTTCGGTAGTGAAAAATGACAAATTTTTGTATATAAGCACACCATTCCTTTGCAGTATTAAGAAGAAATTGACTTTTGTCTCCTCCTCAGTATTGTTCATAGTGTATATCACATTCCATGTGAGTATGACAGGTACCAGTGTTCTGGAGGAACATGCTGCCCCCATCAGGCCCTCCAAAATGTTGGAACAAATCTACTAAACTACAATGCATTCTACTGTCCATAAGACAATAACATCCATATCTGACAGTCTGCGCGCCACAAGACTATTTGTCATAACCCTAATGTACTCTAATTTTGTACACAACAAATGAGCAGTCAGTAGCCTTTATCCACTCAACTAATTCACTAAATGGGGCAGTGTTCTTCTTGAGAAGCTAAACGTTGTCCAGCTAGTTAAGGAGGTCCCAGTATTTCATGAAACCTGAAGGTTTATTACCATGCTCACAAGAGCCTGACAATTATCCCAGTCCCCACCCCCATCCTACTTCTTTGATATCCACTTTCATACCTTCCACCCATCTACGTCTAGGCCTTTCAGGTAGTCTGTTTACTTCAAGTTTTAACCCAGTCAACTCTTATGTGAGCTGTTTCTGAGCTGCCAATGAAATCTGATTTAAATACCAGGAAGAGGTGCAAAGTGCATAAGGACATTAACAAATATGCAAAAAATTATCAACCTTGAAAATCAAAATTCTGCACACAGACTGCATAGTCCTAATATAAAATTTGTTTGGTCTCAAAATAAGTCTGGTGCACTTACACTTCTCTTTCTCCGAGTTTAACACACAATACACCTTGTGACATTCTTTTCCAGTTTTCAGGGACTGATCTACAAAATGAGCTATGTCTTTACTTCAGTCTCTGAGGAGTCAATGCTTTAACACTATAGGGTGGCATCTGTAGACTCCTGCAGCCAGTTTGAAATCCCACTCAGAAGTTGGTGTACAGTATCCTTTTGCTTGTTTTCTTACAGTGCACAGTGAGAACATTAAAAGAACGCATGTCATGGAGACAAGTATCTCTCAGTGTTCCTCAGGACCAGAAACATTGCAACTCAATCCTGGTGATCTACAGTTACTGTAATACTGGCCGGTGTATGTCTTTTTGACTGGAAATATACACCTTATTGCCTTTTCATGCCAGACACAGAATTTTGTATGTGACCAAATCTCAAATCGCCCTCATCTTGAGTTTCTTGTTGAAATTTTATGTAGCAAATATCTGGTAAAAATACAATGACTCATATATATCCCATCACCACAATGATGCATATNTTACAAAGTGATGAATGTTGCACAGAGGCGGTGCCAGCATTGGTCTTTAAAGTAAATAAATTGAGATAAGCGGCCTCCGTAGTCTAGAGGTAACGTTCCCACCTCAGGACTCGTAGTATGCGGGTTCAAACCCGGCGGAGGTCGTGGAATTTTTAAGGGCAGAAAAATTCAGGGAACAAGTCCTCCAGGAGGACTTTAAGCCGTGGGTCCCGTGTCATAGCTTTACGGCACGTAAAAGAACCTCATATCTCCTAAGGAGGTCACTGAGCCAAATTCAAGGACATTTCCCGCCCAACAGTAATCTCTAACGCCTCTGATAGATGGGGGAAGCATTATAGATACCACCAAGCCAGTAGAGGCCGAACTCACTGGCTTGGTCGGGACTGGTGGTAAGCACCAGTATCGGTAGGGTATAGAGACTGGTAGAATATCATAGAGGGAAGCACAATAGATCAAACTGGTCGCGGTGCATGGGGAAACCCACCTTCTCTAAATAACTAACTAACTAAATAAACTGAGATCATAAACTAAATTTGGTACATCATATAAATATAACATATTGTGACGTGCTGCCTGAAAGCCAGACTATAAGATGTCCATCACTAATGAACAGCTTGCAATTCCTAGGCAGTGAAGCCTACGCAATCTTTTCCCCAGAAATGAAAGTCTAACTGGGGTTTCCACCATTACCAATGAATTGTTTGAGGCAGACACATATTCTCGCGTTCGTTGCATACCAGCAGGCAAAATTAACCCTTCAACAAGGTATTCCCTATTCAATCCAGGAGTAAGATATAACAGTTTGTATTTGGCAAGAGACCAGCAGTTTATTTGACTTTAGCAGGAGTGAGTTTGTATCTGACAAGGGACCAAGGACAGTTGAGCTCCGAGCAGAGCAGAAGACACTTTACTAAGATCAGTGGTGCAAGAGGGTTGTATCATTGAAGAAGAAATGTCCAAAGACATTATATGTGTGAATCATTGTATTTGTGAGTGTAAAAAATGTGATTGTCCAGTAAATATTCAAATGTGAGACCCACTTAAATTTCTTGTACATTACCTAGGAACAAGTGACAGTATAGGTAGTTAAAAGGGATATATCCAAATTTAGATCTCAGTGTTCCCATGGCCAACAAGGGAATTGAAGAAAGTTGTCTTCTGGGTTTAGGCACCGTGTATTCTTCGTTTTGGCCGACGTTTCGGAGGAACGTAGCGCCTCCATCTTCAGAGCAGTTGAATAGCTGCGGAGAGCAGTAGCTGTAGTACAGCTACTGCTGCTGGAGGCGCTACGTTCCTCCGAAACGTCGGCCAAAACGAAGAATACACGGTGCCTAAACCCAGAAGACAACTTTCTTCAATTCCCTTGTTGGCCATGGGAACACTGAGATCTAAATTTGGATATATCCCTTTTAACTACCTATACTGTCACTTGTTCCTAGGTAATGTGACAAGAAATTTAAGTGGGTCTCACATTTGAATGAATATTTACTGGACAATCACATTTTTTACACTCACAAATACAATGATTCACACATATAATGTCTTTGGACATTTCTTCTTCAATGATACAACCCTCTTGCACCACTGATCTTAGTAAAGTGTCTTCTGCTCTGCTCGGAGCTCAACTGTCCTTGGTCCCTTGTCAGATACAAACTCACTCCTGCTAAAGTCAAATAAACTGCTGGTCTCTTGCCAAATACAAACTGTTATATCTTACTCCTGGATTGAATAGGGAATACCTTGTTGAAGGGTTAATTTTGCCTGCTGGTATGCAACGAACGCGAGAATATGTGTCTGCCTCAAACAATTCATTGGTAATGGTGGAAACCCCAGTTAGACTTTCATTTCTGGGGAAAAGATTGCGTAGGCTTCACTGCCTAGGAATTGCAAGCTGTTCATTAGTGATGGACATCTTATAGTCTGGCTTTCAGGCAGCACGTCACAATATGTTATATTTATATGATGTACCAAATTTAGTTTATGATCTCAGTTTATTTAGTTAGTTAGTTATTTAGAGAAGGTGGGTTTCCCCATGCACCGCGACCAGTTTGATCTATTGTGCTTCCCTCTATGATATTCTACCAGTCTCTATACCCTACCGATACTGGTGCTTACCACCAGTCCCGACCAAGCCAGTGAGTTCGGCCTCTACTGGCTTGGTGGTATCTATAATGCTTCCCCCATCTATCAGAGGCGTTAGAGATTACTGTTGGGCGGGAAATGTCCTTGAATTTGGCTCAGTGACCTCCTTAGGAGATATGAGGTTCTTTTACGTGCCGTAAAGCTATGACACGGGACCCACGGCTTAAAGTCCTCCTGGAGGACTTGTTCCCTGAATTTTTCTGCCCTTAAAAATTCCACGACCTCCGCCGGGTTTGAACCCGCATACTACGAGTCCTGAGGTGGGAACGTTACCTCTAGACTACGGAGGCCGCTTATCTCAATTTATTTACTTTAAAGACCAATGCTGGCACCGCCTCTGTGCAACATTCATCACTTTGTAAGGTATTTCCAGATCGACAATGGAACAACAGCATATACAGGAGGTACTTGCATTAAAATATATTTCCTAAATTTGTGCAGCTTTTAAGCTTACAACTGTCATAACAGCAGACTTTCAATGTACAACAATTATTCACCTTCACAGAAAATAAAAATTTGTCTCTGAATGAAGTGCAAATAATAGCGACGTATCAAAACTGTGGAAATGAAAGACAATGGACTATGAACATATACTGGCCATTGGCCTTTAAAAGCACATCTGCTAACAGTTAATTTTGCATGAAACATGCCTCTAAACACTCAAGTGGAATAGAATACTTTTGCTTTTGACTGTACAATCAAATGGTCACAAAATTATAGACTGTATTACCATATTACTTCGAATATAAGATGCATCCAGTTTTTGAAAGTAGATTTTAGGAAAAAATTAGAAATGTGTGTCCTATAGTCGAAGTGCTACTGTCCAGCTGGCTGTTAGAAAACCTTTGCCAAAATAAATGAGGTACTGGAAGAGCCTGGAATATTGAACAACATAAACACATCCTCCACCAAGGACAGAACTAATATTTTGTGCATATTTGTACATATCATCTACCACCTCTCAGTGAATACCATAAAACTTGTTTACATTTTCTTTCAGTAAAGGAATGGAACAGATCAAATATACATTGCCCATCACATAAACAGCTGAAAGAGACTTGTGTTAAGCAACATAAATTTTTGTAATGTGACAAAGAATGTGTCCTAAAAATGACACATGGAGCAGAAACACATCCATCCTTGTCTTGATCCTCCGGCACTTCATCTTCCGTCCCTCTGGTGGAAGCCACAAATAGGTTTCAATGAAACTTCTAGGGTATCTAAGTTTCAAACAATTATAAATATTAACTGAAGGGTTCAATCATATTTTGATCTTAATCTGCTAACACTTTTATTATATGTCTGTTTTCTTGTTGTACACAAACTCATTCACACACATGCACTAGAAGTACTTCACTGTTCTACAAGATTTGGACCGGGCACTGGTTAAGTTATGTGCATACTCGACATACAGTAAGAAAATGCCACCAAAATTAAATGTTTAAATCTTTGCACATTTACTCAGATCCATAACCATCAAAAGCACATCATCTTCTGCAAAGAATAACCCCACTTAGTCAGTACAGTTCTAAGAATTGCCATTAATGCAGTTAGGGGGAAGGAGGGGGTACTTGTGGCAATCAATTTGCAAATGTATAAAAACGAACTCTGCACCTGCCAAAGCAATGACACGGAATGAGTGAGGGATTTATAACAAATTGCTTGGCAGTCCACAAAATTGGTTCACCATCCCCCACTGTTTTCAATTTTGATGGGATTCTTGGCAAGACAAGTTTTACACAAATCTGAGATGCTAGTAGAAAGTGTTGAGCGTTTGTTGTCACTCGGTGGCAAGCAACTCCTCGCCAGACACTAGACTGTGAGTTTGTTATCTGCGGTCACGATACAGGAGGTAAACCTTCATGGCATGAGGCAGGTTCAGGTCTGTGATGCGTTCCTCCAACTGGTGCTTGCCTATGTGTTGCCGTATCACCCGCCTGCACAAGTCCATCAGTGGGAGGGGCTCAGCTGTATAAATTAAAACAATGGCACATTAGATTTTATGTTTAACTGCTTAGTAATGAAACAGACATTCTGAATTTCAAAGGCCTCCTTAATACCAATATGCATTTGTTAATTCATAACTTCTTTCCTAAGAGGCCAAATGTAACACTTAAGCACAAATGTGAAGATAATATGAAAATGTAAACAAGAGGCATGTTGATAAAGTTTTCTCAGGCCAAAGTTTACATTGTCATGTCAAGATACAGTGAACAACCCACTGAAGGTTACTTTGACAGCAGTGGATTTGTAAGACTAAACTGAAGAGAATCTTAGACAAAAACCTTAAACTGAGGAATACTAAATAATAAAATGATAATGAAACATTCAGATTTCTATACTGATGAATGGTTCAATCAAATCAGATTTTCAGTATCTCTAACAAAATAAGAATCTGTAACATAATCTCAAACTATTCTATTTATGAATCACACATCACAGAACTAGTGAGTTTAAGGACATAACAATACAGACATGTATTACATATGGACAACTGGATTCTTTTGAGTACATAATAAGTGACCATTTGGGAGACTGAGGACAAGGTGGAGGGACTTAGTAACAGAAGATTTGTTAGAACATGCAGCAGTGAATGTATGGCCACATATACAGGGTGTCCCAGGAGGAATGGACCAAACTTTGGGAGGGTGTTCCTTATGTTAAAGTATGCCAATATAACCCAAAACACCTATGTCCAAAGTTGAATGGTTATGGAGATAATGGCCAGAGAAGTGTCAAACTTTGACCGGTCTTACACACTTGTTGATTACAAAATACATATTAAAACTGGCAGGAATATGTGGATTCTGTAATGTTAATAATGTACGTAACATCAAACTAACTTGTGAGTGACGGAAAGTCATAAAATTGAAGTACGAAATACTCGCTCGCCATGTCATAATTGTCCTTAGGGTTTCCAAGCACATGACACATGACTGGCGAGCGATGACGTAATATGGCTGCGCTATAACCCGACCACATAACTGTGAAAATCTCTTTTGGAATTTCGTTTCCATTATCTCATGTGGATTATTATGGAACCACGTATGCACATTTCGTAAATTATTTACACCATCCCGGGTAAAAGACGCCTCATCACTGAATAAAATGACGCTTAACAGTTCGGGATGAGCTTTTTACCCGGTGGCACAAATCCATACGCTGTGCATGGTCGCCTGGTTCCAGATGTTGTACCATTTGATCATGGTAAGAATAACTCTTCATGATGTAAAGTTTGCCACACCTGAATACGTGATACGCCGATGCGAGAGGCGATTCTACGAGTGATAGACGCGGACTTCACTGAACAATATCAAGAATGTGCTCTCGTGTGTCTATCATTCGTACATCCTGCCTTTCAGAGTGCACAGAAACACTTGCAAGAGAACCAGTATCACGCAATGTCTGGTGAATTCGCGTAAATACACTTCGAGATGGAATCCTTCGATCGGGAAAACGCCTTTGGTATTCTTCAACAGCAGCACATGCATTGCGACCGCAAAATCCACATATAAAATGCATATCACAATATTCCACGTGTGAAAACACAAGAGGCATTTCAGCAACTCATCACACAACTAATTTACCACCCATTCATGACCCCGCCACAACATAATCTGTAGGCTCTGGTAGGTAGCGCATGAACTTACGGCTAGTGACTCACAGCACTCAAGGACAAACAGATAAGGGTCTCAGCTGACAGGTACGTATAGTGCGTGGACCTGCAAGAAGACCACACTTTTCTCGGGCCATTATCTCCGTAACCGTTCAACTTTGGACATAGGTGTTTTGGGTTATATCGGCATACTTTAACATAAGGAACACCCTCCCTAAGTTTGGTCCATTCCTCCTGGGACACCCTGTATACATAACAGGGCACAGAGAGGAAAGCAGCAGCACCAGTGGTTGACGATGATGCTGACTTCAGCTTCTTTTGGGACATTAGGAAAAAGGACCATTGTTACAAGCATACAGAAACAATATATTCAATAAAGGTATATGTCAAAACCTAAACTATCCTTTGCTATAGTTAAATGAATACTGCCAGCATTGTGCATATCTGTTACTGGCACCTGAAGAATTAACATTCTAGATCAAGACTTCTCATGCAACCTGTCAGCTTACATTTCTATTGTGGATTGCTTAAAATAAAAATGACATTTTATTCAATATAATTATTTCAGTTTTAGGGGATTCAGGTAAAAAATGAGATGAGGAGATGATTGTAAGAGTGGAAGATTGGTAGGAGGCAGCCACACCCCATCATTTACCCAGATGAAAAAACAAAAGCCAGAATAAGCAAGTCGCTGACCACAATTCAGATCAGCTACTCATCAGCTAATGGGGAATTGTCATTTGGATTTGAGAGTGCTGCTGTCTGCTTACATCCATTTACAGGGTCTGGAGGAGCAGGCAGGAAGGTGTCACATTTCAATAGGACTTCTAGATAAATAGCCTCTAAGCTTCACTACGCTGTCACTGGTAACTGCGCCTGCCATGCTTCCCGCATAGATGTGAAACATGCTTGGTTTAACAGACATGCATATTAATATTTGAGATTTAAAGGTTTCACACTGGTGAAGACTTATATTGTGATATTCTGGGTTATGACACAGGTTGTAGTCTGACTGGTGGGTAAAATGTTTGGAGCAACATATTGTCTCCATCTTCAGGACTGAAGTGACTTCTTCCTTGGAGACAGAGGCATATGTTCCACTGAAACACTATTAACCACTTACCAGACTACATGGTGTCATAACCCAGAAGACTACAATATGAGTATCAAATATTTACCTTTTAACAAATATGGTAAGATTCTGTGTTAACCCTTTGCACACCACAAGCCAATTATATCAGCTTGGTGCACTTGTATTCAAACTGTCACAGCCCACAACAGACTGGCCCAGTGTTAATAATAACTGTCAATATATGGCACAAATGTAATATACTGATGTTTACAGGAAAGAACTATGGGTTTCTCTATGTAACTGCATTTACCACCACATGGCCTTGCTGTTTCAAGCAGGTGGTTCTAAAGAACAACTTGGCAGTCAAGGGTTAAATTATGCGCTAATGTATTATCAGAAGTGAAAATCCTGTCATATAAAGTAGCATGCTCTCAAGCATATTAGCAGCAGTAATTGCTGAACTAGGAGACCATATAACTATAATACTTACGATCCAATCCTCCAATATATTTCATGGTGATTTCACAGTGACCCCAAACTGCACTTACAATAGGGTATAATTTCCGGCCTTTAAGCCCACGGAATGCAACACCTAGATACTGGCCATCAACAACAAATGACAAAGTGCCATCATCCATATCCAACACAACTGAAAGTCAGAATAAACATACATGCAGTATTAGCAACTATACCAACTTCAGCCAGCATGGCCAAAAGATTTTAAGACCCCTGAAAATATGTGAACCGTGAGTGGCCATTCTATTTCCACCACTCCTTTTGTGAAGAATCCCTTCCCTTGCTGCAAGCCACCCTCCTCTCTCTGTCTTACTAACAACTGTCTTGCACTTTACACTGTTGCCAAAAAAATAGAGTGAACATAATTTTGCAATGCACAGAAAAACCATGCAATGTGAGCATGATGTGGCAATTCAACTTGCTCTAGCAAAACTGTCACTGCCTTACAGGAGAAATGTATTCTCCAAGCTGTAAAAATGAAAGTAGCACAAACTAAAATGAGGAGGATCTGGAAGAGATCATGTTCTTAATGTACAGATATATACATTTATTTACAGTGTGTCCACAAAGTCCCATCGGGGTTTTGAAAAATTGTGGCGCACAAACAAATTGAGCTAGCCACATGTGGTTTGAGGCAGATCATTGTGAAACTCTGGAAGTTTTTTATTGACCTCAGTAGACCTCGATGTGGGCTCCCTTGGTAGCACAGAGAACATCCAGACGATATTTGAGCTCTTGCCATGTTCTGTGAAGAATGTCCACTGGAATAGCTGAAATTGTATTCCTGATACGGGTCTTCATGTCATCAAGTCCGTTAACTGGTGTTCAGAACACACTGCTCTTGACAAAACCCCACAAGAAAAAAATTGTGTTCCTAAACAGGGCATTTCCAGGAAGATGGATCGGCAAAGACGGTCCAATGCCTTGGCCTCCACGTTCACCAGACATAACACCACTGGATTTTTTCCTGTGGGGTTATGTCAAGAGCAGTGTGTTCCGAACACCAGTTAACGGACTTGATGACCTGAAGACCCGTATCAGGAATGTGATCTCGGCTATTCCAGCAGACATGCTCCAAAGAACTTCTCTAAAAATTTCATCTCTCATTCTATCCCTTCTTGTTCTTCCCTCAATACTTCTCAAAAGCTTCATATATATTGTTTGGATTTTGGTTTAGTTTACTCTTTGTATGGGCCCATGAATTGGCATTATTTCAGTTTACAGTATATTTTGCAGACTGCAGTTTCCTGTTGCCCTGTTCCATAATATTCCTCTTATAACTTGATGACATTTAAAACTATTTTGTATTCAGTGCTAAGCTCACTGTTTCAAGAAAATATTATTGCAGTCTATCCATACACATATAAAGTCAGTAAGCATCTACTGAGGTAATTCACTTGTACTACTACAGTATAAAGCAACTTACCTAAAAATTTGTCAGGGACAATAAACGTCTGATCTGCTTTGAGCGACATTGGGTATGTGACACCAGCACTATGCTTTGAATCATGATACAGTTTATTTCGGCCAAGGTCCCAACCCCATGACTGGTCATTGCTGCCAACTAGGCTCTGCAAAAGAAAATGCAGGAATGCCAAATTAAGATTGTTCACAAACACATACTATTAGTTGAGTTTTAAGAAGAAATGTTAATTAATGAGTACAAATAACAGTGAAATTGCACAAGCAAACCAGTATACCTTTAAGGCCCTTATTTTTAATCACTTGCTGCTAACACAAAAAACTGTATCTCTTCATATTGTTAAATATGTAATCTCATTAATATAAATTTAGTCCCAAACATCTTTCTGAACTACATTCATCTCCTTTGCTATAATAATAATATTCTTTACTTACCATCCAGTTGCAACATCCTATTACTATTCACATGTCATAATACTGAAATCTTAATTCACATTAACATTCATTCTCTTTACAAAAGAACTTACTTAAATTATCATTATCAACTATTATTTAAACACTTAACTATGTTTTTTCTTTAACCCCTGATGCAAAACAAAGTGGACACCAGCAGTCAGTTATGTTACATTGCAGATGTGAGTATAAAGGTACTGTTGGAAAGCTATCCTGTCTGTGACTGTGCTATATCAAAACAACAGCCATATTGTAACAAAATTATATCTGACACATAAAGGTAAAAGATAAGTTGTCCCTGTGCTTAATTAATTAAGCACTTCGCCATGAAGGCATATGGTGGAGTGGATGTATAGATCCATATTTCCTTGGCCTCAGCACTAGTTGGATGTGTGGTCAGGCCCCAGAGCTGGTCTGGACGATGTGGAGAAAAGAAAATTCTTGACTGTACCAGGACTTCAACTCTGATCCCTCAGTCGTCCAGCCTGTAGCCAGTTGCTATATCGACTATGCTCTTTCACTGATTTGAACTACAATTAAATTGTGGCATATAACACTGTGTAGCCAACTGAAAGTCGACTCATGTTTTGGAGGAACATATCACCTCCATCTTCAAGGTCAAAGAATAAGCTGCGCAAGATACCAACGTGAAAGCAAGCGGAAAGCAGTCACACACACATGCAATCAATCATACACATGGCTCTACCATAGCTCAAGTGGTTAGTCGCTGGCTTCCCGCTGCAGTGGACCGTGTTCGATCCTCAGTCTGGTCAAGTGGGATTTGGTGGACAAAGTGGAGCTGGGGCAGGTTTTCTCCGAGTACCTTGGTTTCCTCTGTNCCATAGCTCAAGCGGTTAGTCGCTGGCTTCCCACTGCAGCGGACCGTGTTCGATCCTCAGTCTGGTCAAGTGGGATTTGTGGTGGACAAAGTGGAGCTGGGGCAGGTTTTCTCCGAGTACCTTGGTTTCCTCTGTCAATTTTCATTCAACCAATTACTCCACAATCACCCTCACCTATCATCTGGGGCTGGTACAATAGGTCAGAAGTGGCTGCAGTACAAGGGTCTTAGTCCTACCCCACTAGCGGCAAATAAGCAATCACACGTACTCTCTGTTATTGTGGGCAACATTCTTGAACAGTTCAGTGCAAAAGGAACAATTTCTAAATCCCTTCTATTCTTAAAATTCTACAAAAAGGTTTATTTACCAGTTTCAGTATTATGAATCAGGAATTGAACAAAATGACTGAAGTGAATATTTTCACTTTATGAATTTTATGAATTTATGTGTTTTTTACATCAATTATTATGGGGTTATCTGTTACTCCTTGCTTCAAGCTATACCACACAAAATTGCATTTCCAAAGACTGTTTTGACACCATACTGGAAAAGCAGAATGCACAAATATATGTAATGTGACCACTGTCCGTAACGCAACGTGGAGTTATATTTTAGTCCTTGCTTCAAGCTTTATCACACAAAATTTCATTTCCAAAGACTGTCGAACAATACACTGGAAAAGCAGAATGCACAAACATAATGTGGCATGTAGACCCACTGCTTGGCAATGACCATGAAAAAAAAAAGCAGCTATACAACAGCTGTTACTGAGTAACACCTTCGCAAACAAGCACATTTATGTAGCAACAATTTGAAACAGCAACAGAGGAATGATGTTTTCTGTGCAATTCATGCCATAATGTTATGAGCAGGACAGTCAGTGACAGTCAGTTAGTTGAGAGTTGCTGTAGCTGAGGCCAAGGACAGTTCAGGAACCAAGAGTAAGGGGAATGTCCACCATTTGAAACCATTACCAAGCAACAGCTAGGGGAGACTGAGAAGTCTTTATGTGTGCTGCAGTTACAGCAATCTTTAGCGGCCTCTGTAGTCTAGGGGTAACATTCCCACCTCATGACTCAAGGTATGCAGGTTCAAACCCGGCGGAGGTCGTGGAATTTTTAAGGGTGGAAAAATTCAGGGAACAAGTCCTCTGGGAGGGACTTTAAGCCATGGGTCCTGTGTCGTAGATTTACGGCACGTAAAAGAACCTCATGTCTCTAGGAGACCTCTGAGCAAAATTATTAGGTAAAAACTTTCCCACCCAAGTAGTTTCCAATGCCTCTGGTAGATGGGGGAAGCATCAAGGTACTGAGGGCCGACCTCATTGGCTCAACGGGGCTGATAGCACGCACCATCTACCGGTAGGGTATGGGAACAGTAGAAATTAAAGGGGGACGCACAATGGACCAATAACTGGTCTAAGTGCATGGGGAAACCCACCCCCTCCAATAATAATAATAAATAAAAAATACAGCAATCTTTGGTGTGTGTAACTCAGACTGTTGTAATTATTTGTAGCTATGTTCTGTAAGTGTTCAATAAATCTGATTACCAATCCAAACCCCAACTACAGTCACTCAAAAACAGTGAGAATGTGTAATGTGACCAATGACCACAATGCAATGTGGGGTTATCTGTTAATCATTGCTTCAAGCTACAGCACACAAAATTTCATTTCCAAAGACTGTCCGACACCACAATGGAGAAATCAGAACGCATAAACGTATGTAACGTGACCATTGGCATTGCTGTCCTGATACACCGATGAAATAAGAAGAGGCATTCTTGAAGGGTCTTCAGATATCTCTGTCTCATTTTGATGTCTTATGGAATAACAAAGAAGGAAAGATTGCCTGGTGAGAATTATAAACATCTGAAGATTCTGCAACACTTAGTTGGATGCTAGTACACAAAGTCATTCCTCAGACAAACGTTTTAAATGCTCATGACCAACACTGTCATCACTGTATTTACTATCCTTTAATAACAGTATCTTGGTGAAAGAAGCTAAGGGGGTGTGGATTTATGAAAGGGTTAATGAGATAAGCTCCTGAAGTGTCATTAAATACTTCTGTCTCATTTTGACATTCTGTGGGACGACAAAGTAAGAACAGTAGCCAGTCATAAATGTTCAAAGAATTTTACAACCCTCAGAGAAATGTTAGTGGATAATTCAATCACAAATTAATCTCTGGCATTCTCTGAAGCCTAGAGAAAAACTTTAGACACACACGGTTCTTGTGAATTCAAGTATCTTTTAATAATACCTGACATAATAGGATGGTGCACTCCAATTCAGCTGGCTACAACTACATACTGTCATGTGTAGGGTGGTATACATGGCGAGAATGACGGGTTCTAGTCAGGATGATTGGATTTATTGGCACTCTGGTTAATATCTCTCTTAATCACATTTAAATTAAGTGCTATCGCTGATTTACATTTTATAATTCACTGTTACACACACACACACACACACTAAACCTCTCCTGGTAATGCAATTAAAGCACAGGAACTAGCACTGCATATCACTCCAAATATTACGCATGTCTTCTAATCACACTTTAAATCCTCATAAGTCGATGAAGGCTCTGTGGCTGCCTCCTACCGAGAACTCAAAATTCACTCTCACTGTCACTCCTAGTTCAAATTTGCTCTGAACTTACAGCTTACAGCTCTCGTTAAATAGCCATGGCACAGACCGCATAGAAAAAACAGCCTCTATTGTTGTTTACCAAAGCACTGCATAGCAATGGTTATGGTGTGGACCCCACAGAAAACCAGTCATGCGATAGCTATCGTGTCATTCCATTGGCATGCTGACTATTGCCTAGGAACAAGCTATAAACATCTGTGCTATTGTTGAGACATATTGCAGGCTGTCTGTCGAGCTGTCACCTGGCAATGTGTTGACATGTCACAATATTATGGGAAAAGGTGTTCCCTTTCAGCTGATAAAAGTACTCAACCTGTAAGCAAAAAGATTCTACTTTACCTAATACAAGAGGAGACTTACATTTGAGTTAGCAATGTGCAACATACATACCTGGTACCCTACTGAATGTAGTGGAGCATCCTGTGTTGCAACACCTACTACTGCGTGTGTCCCCCGCTGCCGGGTAGACCAATGCACCTCCCACACATGCAGTCCTTTTGTGAGCCCCACCTTTCCTCGTATGCAATCAGTGCTTTGGGCAACAGGGTGTCTGTGGAATGTCAGCTTGTCATCGTCCTGAAATAGATTTGTAGGTGCCAAATTTGAACTGAAATTGCAGGTACTGAAACACAGCATTTCAGGTCTGATTCATATTGAAATCGTTCCCTGCCAGTGAGATAGGTTCCAGCATACCTACATCATCTGATCAGCTGCTTCTGCATTACATATAATTTCACTTTTGATTTTCATTACCTTCTGGTTCATATCTTGGACACAGAGAGACTGTCTGTTGTTCAGTTTTTAAGCTTTGTAGATGAGGTTCCATTCTTAGAGAACTGGTAGATTTGGCTTTCTGTATTAGATAATGAAAAAATGAATACCTCATGTTTGGTTTGGTGATTTCTTCTGTTTTGCTATAAAATGACAGGAGAATTAAAATACCCTGAATGTTTAGTATACAAAATATCTCAAAACATGGAATACCACAAGGCAGATTGCTGCTGTTATTACAGAGCCACGTGTTAAGGAAAAACAAGATGAAATAGGTAATTCTCAAAGATAAGAAAGCAAAATGACATCAGGATCCACTGTCTTCAATAGGGCAGAACAGAAAATTTTAAACATGAAACAGCAAATACCTGTACAACGGTACATGCACTAGACTCCAGGCTGTAGGATTTTGGTATGATTTTTGGCAGCCCTAAAGATTTTTCTTTTCACCTCCTGACATCTGGTGCTTACAAGCCTTCTATCTACAGGTACTCCAACCCCCCCAAAGAAATAAAACTGGTATGTGAACCTGCCTACTCAGCCACCTCTACAGTTGAAGTTAAGAATGTATCAAGCTATACCTCCACTCCCCCATATGTCTTCATGGCAAAGTATTCAATTAAGCACCATTATAACTTTATCTTTACACTTTGTTGTCCATGTTCTTTAATGTTGATTTTTAACATTTACTTCACATAAATTATCTATAATGCCAGAAAACATCTGCAAATTGTATTCAGAAATGCAGCAATCAAAATCAGTGTTTACATTACTTCAGTGAAAGCCTCCCCCTCCCCCCCACACACACACCCCACCCCTACTTCACTGCCTTACTTCTTAATGGTTCTAGCTCCAATTTTATTTTTTTCTTGAGGTTATAAGGGCATTTAATTCCTTAAGGCATAAGGCTGTATATCCATGATTAAAACTGGTAAAGTAACAGAAATCAGAAATCTCTGTTCCACAGTGTGTGGAGACAGAATCATTAAGAATTACGGCAATGGCTTGTAGACATGCAAATGGTTTATAACCAGAGATACTGCTAACACATGTAGCTCCCATCTCAGTTCTCCATAACTGCAGTCACACTCCTTCACATGTTTGGACTTTAACGCTCTAAAATAATTTCCATGCCTGGCTACAAATGTATACAACATGCAATATTCTTCTCCATTTAAATGTTTCCTATTTCATTATTTCTTACTGAAACCGTCTCAACACAACAATCAATAACATGTGTAAGTAGCTCTATTATTGACTGTTGTGTTGTGACGGTTTACAGTAAAAAATAATATATGATACACAACAGGGTGCATTCACTGAAAAAAAAATTTCCTATTCTATTTAGAGAGACAGCCATTTTCAATTAAATGTATAGTGGACCTGGCCCAGTCTACTGACTGAGATAAGAATTGCAGGGTGTGTACAGATCAGTCAGGGGCCTTAGCCATGCAGCTGCAACCACAGTCCTGCTACTACTTCCCACACTTCTCCTCATATGCAATCCTGAGGCCCAGTTTAAAGACTGTTCAGTATTTATTCTTCAAAACCGTACTATACCCAGATGATTATGCAATGAACATGCATCATCTCCACCCATTAAGACCTGTGAAATTCCCATTATATTATTGTACTAACTTGAATAATTAAAACGTACGAGTAAGTTTAATTATATTGTGACATGTTGCGCAAAGGAGAACCCCCCCCACCAGCAGTGACGTGGCGGGTGAGTCAGCGCTCCCCTCCCCCTCCTCCGCACGGTAACGTAACGGTGACGCAACAGGATGACGTGGCACGCAACAGGCACCACTGCGGATATATAAGGGAACTGCACAGCAGCTACCAGTCAGTTGTACTGTGACCACCGCCGAGTGGTAACGTAACAGGCACCGAGTCAAGTTATAACGTGCCCATCGCCAAAGATATTTCCGAGCAAGCCTATGAGCTAGTGTGTTATCAACAGTTCTCCAGTCAGCCGACTACAAGTTGGAGTATAGCAGCCGTCGCGGAAAGAAGATCCGGACGTGTGTGTGATTGTTTAATTGGGAGCGTGTGATACAGTGATACCTAGCTCCCCTACTGTCAACGTGTAGACTACTGAACACAGAGTGAACTGATTTGCGCATAGGGTTATAAATCGTGAAACCCCGCAACAGTGTTAACAGATTAATGCGATTAGGGTTATAAAGTGTGAAACCCTGCAACTGTGTGATAAGTAATTGTAGCTGTTTCTTGTAGATTGTTAAATAAACCAATTAACCATCTCTACGGCGTCTTCAGTAACCAGAAACACGTTACAATATCAATATCATGGGTATGAATTTATGAAATGCTTGGAAGACAAAATTTATTACAATGTATGGACTGCAGAAAATACAACAGGATGCATTCAGTGCTTTAATAGTTAACACTTAATCAAGATGCTTACTTGCTCTTCCAACATGCTGGCAGTCATCACCAATTACATGAAATACTCATCACATATAATGTGATTTATCTGATCATAACCATAAGTTAGCTTTAGTGTATGGCAGATAATTTCTCCGAATTACACTGCAGTGTCTAATGCCAATATTTTTATCTCACAGCTTCAGTTTCATTAAATACAAAGCATATGATTCCATTTCAAGTGTCTGGTTGCTGATGAATTGTAGGGAGTAGAATGTAATACATGTACAAAGCCTCCCCTATGTTAATGTGTATCTAACCTCACTTTCACAACTGAGGCTCTAGAGACCTCCATTACTTCTAGCATGGAGAAACCCAAAATCTGAGTTAAACTAGTTATGTTCTGTTCTGCTAGCTCAGTCTGTTGTAAATAACCAACGCAACTGAGTTGCCTTTAAAGCCATTAATAATCTGTTCATAAAAAAATATTCTATACCTTAACGAAGATGTTTAATGAGCGATCTTCTGCATTCCAGGCATGCTTCATCTGACAGTCGCGACTTGCAGGTGGCATGTCCAATAGTGCATCCAAGCGAGCTGGACGAGTGAACTCTTGGGCCAGCTCACGAGGGATTACGGGCTTGTAGGGCTGAGGACTCTCACGATTCACAGTCTTTACACCTCCTGTCATCAAGACAAAGCCATCTTATAGCAAAATAAATATTACACATTTACAAAGTAAGAATTATTTACACAACTGACAGGTTTCCTTGGATGTTGGATCAGTCCATCACAAGGCTTCTACCTACATAGGACAACATTAATGCAATAAAGGATGGACATAATTAACCTCCTGCATGGTATTTGAACACATGATCCTGGTATTTGGGCAGTCAAAAACACTGCATACTTTAGACCACACAGTCATTGTGATCCCTTGACTTTACCTTTTCATATAAATCTTACAAGGTAATAAGTAATTTTACTCTCTCATATAATAGCCCAACTCTTATTTCACAGTCAGGATCCAGATCTCTGAATCTCAGCATTGCGTGTCTCATGTTATGAGAACCTTTCTACATGTCAGACCCCCGTATTTCTTGGTATGTTGTTATGTTACAGCCTTCACAGCCTGTTAAACAGGGATAGCTTTACTTTTATACCAACCTTGCCTGAGTAACTGCTAATTTAGCCATAAATTTACAGCCAATACAATTAATATTGTCACATGTTGGGTATGTCACGCGACAAATAACTTCATGTGGGTCTCGGATTTAGCGAATCTTTATTGGACACTCACACTTACACACCTTACAATTATTATCGCTTGCAGTATCACTTGACTTCTGGCCCAGTACTCCAATGCGACGTCTCAACTATCCTTGGCCACGGTTGGATCTCAACTGTCTTTGGCAATGGCTATCCCAATACTGACTTCTTTTTGTCTTCTTCTCTCTCTGTAGCTCTCGGCTTATGTAGGTGTTCTGCGGACTGGATGACAGACACCATTCCTCACTGTTTCGTCTCTACTGTCCGCTGTTACGTAACGGACCTCCTGTTGTCCATCTCCAGGGAAACGCGTTCGTTATTTCGGCATTGTCTATGCAACGGCTCACTGTTATTGCACTACCATGGAAGTATCTACTCCAAACACGTTACAATACTAAGATCACATCTTTTAGGACGTGATGATGGTTGATGGTTCTTCCAAAATGATGGTATCCATCGCCCAGACTACAAGATGGCATGTCTAAAAAGCTCACAGCCTTAATATTCACTTCCATGACAACATCAAAGCTCAAGGAACATGTATATGATGTAATTCCACTTCACAGGAATATAGGAAGATGTGAGAACTTCAACTCTGGCATACAACTTTTTGACCCTAATCTATAACACTATAACTGAGATGGTCTTATTGACATTTTTAATACACATCTAAACTAGCCTCTGAGGATAAGCTGTTCAAGGACAAACATGACTGGCAAGTTTGAGTATAGGAATAAGATGCCCTCACCCAAAACGCCGATGGCATGGACATAATATTTGAGGTTCCCATGGCACAGAACGTTGTGACATTATTGGGTGTGGGAACAAACAAGTCACATAACAACGGAGGAACCGCTGTTAAGTGGTGCAGTCCATGCCATGGCTATACAGAATGAGTGTCACCGGGAGAGTCAGTTGCTGAAGCCTGTGTGGAGGTAGGTTGCAATACCTCCTCTATAGTCCTGTGAGCCATAGGAGGCAATGAAAAGGAAACCCAGTGCTTGGAGGTATATAGCTGGGCCACCATATTCCTGGGTGACATAAATACAGGGACCTGGCCCTCCAAGCTAGGGGTCTTGAATCTGAGAGCATAAAATATGGTCATGAGTCTCACAGGACTCAGACCTGAGAATGACTGCACTGGTAAGGGCCAGCAGCAACTGTAAATGACAGACCCATCCTCTCATCACAGAGGGCACCCCACACAAACAAACCAGCAACTGTCTGACAGCAACAAAAATTTTGTCTTGGGCCCCAGATGGGGTTTGACACCAAGACAGACTGAGAGTCGGTTATAGCATAACTTTGACTTGAGCCAGTCACTGTCATGAGTTAGTTGTGAGATGGAAGCCAGCTGGCAATGATGTAAGCATGAAAGCAGAAGAATCTCCATTGCTGAGAACCGTTACCAGGCAATGACTGGAGAAGACATGAAGACTTCATGTGTTCTGAAGTACAGTGATTTGGAGTGTGTAGATCTGTGAAACTGTTAGTTACCTGTAGTTACAAGTTATAAGAGTCAAATAAATCCAGTTACCAACCTAAACCTCGTGTCTAATCACCAGATCATGACAATATGAAAATTACAGTCCTCTGGGATGTGACAGTATAGTTTGGCAGATACATACACATCTACCAACATTCAAAACTACAAGATGACACATCCCAAAAGAATGTAATCTGCAGGTGGATCATTTTAGAAACTGCAACGCCTGTCTGGGGTGTTTCTTTCATCAAAGCTACTCAGAACAGAAAAGAAGAGTGCCATTTCAAGGTAACTTATCTTGTTTGTAGCAAAGTGTTCATCAATGTCAAGACTTTTTCTGAAAACCGGAAACAGCATCTAATGTTATTTCAGTCCTCTTGCCAGTTTCAGACCAAGTCTACACTGAGTTTTGTATGCTGTACTATATGGCTGCCACTCCAAATCTAATGCAGAATGATGAAAAAGTGAATTAAGAAACCTCTTCCTCCTCCTCCTTTCGCATTTCTATTCCATGTAGGTCATTTAAAATAATGTGGGACTGAGTTGTTTGTCGAAAGGAGGTTGTTGGGTCTGTCACAGCATCACCCTAGCCATTCATTTTCACGGTTTCTGTCAGATTTTCTCAGCTACCATAAATGTGCCAGGGGCTAGGTCCACATTGTACTTCATCCTACCTGCTCAATCCTCCTAATTTCAATACTTCTGTAACATGTGATACTCTCTACTACATGCCTGATATCTTCTGCCCCATGTTCATGCCCCGGCTGCTGCGGGTGCGCCGGTGTTCTAGGTATGAGGCCGACTTGTTGGGCAGGACGGCAGCCTTGTAATTGTGACGACGCAACTCCCTCAGCTCCAGGCTGGATGCAGCTGTAGCTGGAGCAGATGCAGAGGCAGATGAGGCGTAACGAGACGCCCGTGGGCACTGGCTGCTCACACCACGACTCTTGTACCTGCAACAACAAGAAATTCTTGATAATTCTGCAATATCATAGTTGCTCCTTGAATAACCTATTGCAAGCACCAGAGATTAGCTCTAGACACAACAGAAATAAAATAATATGTTCACTTCATATTGTGACCTTCTGGGTTATGAAATCATGAACACTGGCAGGTTGGCAACAATGTTTCAGAGAAACCTCCTACCTCCATCTGAACATGAATACTATTATCAAGAAGAGGGGTTGACGGTTGGTACATTCTTGCCACACAACGCATTGTCATAACCCAGATGACTACAATATGCCTCTTCATGGCCATGAAAAACTCAGATCTTTGACACGTACATTTATCTGCTTTTCAGTTAGTTATAGGATGTCATATATAATACAAATAGGTCACTGGTATTATGATTGTTCTGAAATGTTCATGCCCCAAGAGAAGATAAAACTGATGACATGTAGGGTAGGTTCTACAAAGAACTAGAACATGTTTTTGATAAATTCCCAAAATACCATATGAAAATTTTGTTCAGAGATTTCAAAGCCAAAGTAGGTAGGGAAGACATTTTCAAACCAACAATCGGGAATGATGGTTTACACGAAATTAGTAAATTATGATGGAGTTACAAGTAGTAAACTTTGCACATCCTAAAATGTTACTGTCAAAAGTACAATATTCCCACATCGTAATATCCATAAATTTACTTGGACATCTCCTAATGGGGAGATACACAATCAATTCGACCATATTTTGATAGACAGGAGATGGCATTGAAGTATACTTGATGTCCAATCATTCAGGGCAGCAGATTGTGATACTGACCACTGTCTGATGGTGGCAAAGGTTTGGGAAAGACTGGCAGTGAGTAAACAAACAATGCACACGGTTCATATGGAGAGGTTCAATCTCAAGTAATTAAACGAGGTAGAGGGTAAGGAGCAGTATTGTGTTGAAATCTCAAGGAGGTTCGCGGCTTTGGAAAACTTAGACACTGAGGTGAATGTTAAAAAGGCTTGGGAAACTGTAAGAGAGAATATCAAAATTTCTGCCAGAGAGTCTAGGTTATAATGAACTGAAGTAGCATAAGACGTGGTTCGATGAAGGATGTTTAAAATTATTAGACCAAAGGAAATAAGACAGACTGCAGTGGTTACAGGATCCAAGCAAAATAATGGGGATAAGGAGAAAAAAGCAGTCTTCTGGGATTTGGCACCGTGTATATGTGGTGTTAACCGACGTTTCGGAGGAACGTATCGCCTCCATCTTCAGGGTAGAAGAAAAAATATAAGAAATCTGCAAAGCGAAGAGACCGTGAGAACCGGTAAAAGCAGACTGTGACACCACATATACACGGTGCCAAATCCCAGAAGACTGCTTTCTTCATAGTCACCGCCGTGAAAGCCTCAAATCTTACATAATGGGGATAAGCTGAACGATTTAATATGTGAAATCAGAGGGCATTTCAGGAATAAAAAGAGGGAATATCTGAAAGACAAAACTGATGAGCTTGCAATGACCAGTAAGAACAAGAACATTAGAGAACTGTACAGAGGAATAAATGACTTTATGAGGGGTCACCAACCTAGAAGTAATTAGTGAAGGATGAGAATGGTCATCTGCTTGCAGATTCCCACAACATTTTGAATAGGTGGAAGATCTACTTCTTTCATGTTATTGAACATGATGTTAAGCAGATAGAAATACATACAGCTGAGCTGTTAGTACCTGATCCTAGCCCTCCTGAGGTTGAAATTGCTATTCCAAAGCTGAAAAGGTATAAATCACCAGGTAGTGATCAAATTCTGGCAGAGCTGATTCAAGCAGAAGGTGAAATATTACACTCAAGATCCATAAGCTAAGCAAATCTACCTGGAATAAGAAAAATTGCCTGATCAGTGGAAGAAGTCTATTATAGTACCAGTTCACAAGGTTCTCAAGGTTAGTCCATATATGGATGATTGGGATCATCAGTATGGGTTTCGACATAACACACCAACTACTGATCAGATCTTCTGTATTTGTCAGATACTGGAGAAAAAATGGGAGTACAATGAGACAGTACAGCAGCTATTAATAGACTTCAAGCAAGCCTATAATTCAGGTAGGAGGGAAGTACTGTACAATACTGTCAAGAGTTTGGGGTACCCATGAAACTAGTTAGGCTCATTAAAATGTGTTTAAACGAAATGTATAGAAAATTCTGTACATGTAAACATCTGTCTGATAATATTCCTACCCAGGATGGTCTAAAACAAGGAGATGCTTTTTTGCCACTGCCTTTAACTCTGATTTAGAATATGCCATTAGGAAGGTCCAGGAAAACCACGTGGGACTGAAATTAAATAGGATACATCAGCTATTGGTCTTATGCTGATGATGTTAATCTGCTGGTTGATAATATAGATACCATAAAGAAAAACAAAGAAGTTTTAATTGATGCTACTAAGGAGGTTGGTCAAGAAGTAAAGACAGAGATAACTAAGTATATATTGTTGTTTTGTCTCCATAGTGCAGTGCAAAAGACAGCTAACAGATGTTTTGAAAACATGGCACAGTTCAAATATTTGGGAACGACTATAAGAAATCAAAACCAGATTCAGGAGAAAATTAAGAGGAGACTGAACTCGCGTAATGCTTGCTACCATTCAGTCCAGAACCTTTTGTCTTCTTATCTGCCATCTAAAAATATTAAAATTAGGATATACAAAAGTATAATTTTGACTGTGGTTCTGTATGGGTGTGAAAATTTGTCTCAGACATTAAGGGACTAACACAGACTGAGGGTGTTTGAGAACAGGAGAATATCTGGACCCAAGAGAGATGAAGTGACAGGAGGCTGGTAAAAACTGCATAATGAGGAGCTTCATAACCTGTACTCTTCTCCAAGTATAATTAGAATGATCAAGTCAAGGAATATGAGATGGACTGGGCATATAGAATATTGGTGGGAAGGCAAATGCATATAGAATATTGGTGGGAAGGCCGGAAGGAAGGAGACCACTGGAAAGACTACGGCGTAGGTGGGTGAACAATATTAAAATGGACAGATAGGATGGGATGGTACAGACTGGACTGATCTGGCTCAGGATAGAGACCACTGAAGGGCTCTTGTGAACACGTTAATGAAACTTCGGGTTCCATAAAATGCTGGGAAGTTCCTGAGTAGCTGCACAATCTGTGGCTTCTAAGGAAGGGTTCAGCTCCATGAGTGAGTGAGTGAGTGAGTGATCACACAAATTATTTTTATAGCAACAAACACATGTGACTCATAGCATTAACAGAATGAGATATTTCTGAATAAAAGAGAATGATGATCAGTCTTCAGCAATGTGACCCCATATAGTCTGGTAGATAGGTAAAATTTCTGCAGAAGAACTGGCTGCCTCTGTGTTGTGACTGAGAATGGTACCTTTAATACTATGTGTGGGAACCTTAATTGGTTTAACTAAAAGATATAGCATTAGTATCAACATGGAAAGACCAATTATGGCAGCCTCAGAATGAGTTCTAAATCTTCACACCGGGGAAGAGAAAGAATATGCACAGCTTTGGAGACAACAGAAAGTCCACTAACAGGAATAACCTCTAAATCAATGGTTCTCAAGCAAAACTATGCTGTAGTCATATTCAGTTTTAACAACTTTTTGACCACAGCACACATTTCTGGCATGTATCTCACCTTACAACACAGACCACAGGGATTTCAATTTCTACTGACTTCACTTTAAACTACCACTACTGCACTGTAACATGTGACTTCAGCCTTAATGTTGTGTTTTAGCGTCCTGTTGCACTGATTTTCGTCCATGATATATATACAGTGTCCGTCTTGCAGTGCATCCACTTTTACCTGTCACTTCACAACATGTTTCGGCATCATAGTGCCATCATCAGGCATTACAACACCCGCAGCCAAAAAGGGAACACGCATCACGAGAGACAATACACACGGCATATAGGAGGAACGATTCCCATAGTGGAGGAACCATGCGCGGGTTTTGAATTGGGACAGATGAGATGAATATCTTAGCAAGATTTTGGTCTACAAAAAATTTATTATAACTGACAAATATTTTAAAATGCTTTTTAAATAGTTTTATATTGACATAATGGCATGCAGTGCAATGGATTAGTGTAAATGGAGCACCTGATGATGGCACTATGATGCCGAAACATGTTGTGAAGTGACAGGTGAGAGTGGATGCACTGCAAGACGGACACTGTGTATATATCATGGACTTCAGCCTAATTGTAATCTGTGAGGTGCTAATAGGCTTAATCCTTTACATAAGGCTATTATCTCTGATCTGCTTTGCAGCATCACGTGCTACTGACCAGACACATTTACTTAACGCTTATAACTCTGTAACTACAAATAATCATAACAGTCTCACTATCTACATACTCTGCAAATTACTAAGGCACGAACTACGTCTTCTCACTCTGTCATGTCTTCAATAGCAATTGTTTCGCAAAGGCGTAAAAGCAGTGGAAATTCCTCTGCTTTTGCCTAACCACTAATTATGAGTGCTGACTGTCGGTAAATTGTTGCACTGCACAGACCATAGACAGGGACACTTCCACGGGCCTTCTGCTGTTGCTTGTATATTCGTGACTGCGGAGACGTGTTTACTGAGCCGCTGCCTAGCAAAGAAATCTCCTCTGGCTCCACCATTCCACCTTTCTGACGTTATGCCACAGTATTATTAAAAAATGACTGACAGATGTAACAAGTTCAATATTTGCCTGTACTGCTGTGCTCTTTCCCCTTTACTGTCCACCCCCTTGATGTGGGCTACCTCATGACTGAAACCATGTGCTTGTAAACAAACAACTATACAACATTTGCTAAATCTGCACATAAAATTTACATGACCTAAACACATCCCATGCCTGTACATACTAGAATTACAACAAAGCCTGTTATAAACCGTCCACTACAATCATGGACTGGTTTGATATATAGGATGGCATACCAATTTTCTGTGTGTTTCAATTAAATATGCCGAAA